TGTCGTAATCTAGTTATGTTAATGCGATTATTTGCCAAAACACATTACCCATAGTTAGAATACAAATAAATTATTTAATAAATGTAGCAACCGGGCCACCTGAAAATCCATTTGGCCACCTGAATCTCATACTCAAGTGGCCCGGCCGGCCACCTGAAAAAAAAGTTAAGGGCAAGCCCTGCTAAAGGAATGTTTTATAGACTGTTTTATAGACACAGTTTGACATGCAGTTCTTGATGAGATAGTGTGCATGCATAGCCAGTAGGTGCTGTGTATAAGGAGTATACTGAGATCTCACCGCAAAACAACTGCCTTTGGGGTGTTCACTGTGTTAACATAATTATATGTCTTAATATTTCTGATTCTGTATAACGTAGAAGTTCAAATAAATATCAACACATTTTGCTTTATTAAATAGAAACCAGTGTGTTGATATAAAATTTGCATTTTAATGGTCAATTTTCAGTAAGGGTTGCATTGAGATGTTTAACAAGCATAAACCATGTATCTTGATTATACAATATTTGTATGCTAGAAATGATGTTTATCTTTTTTTCAGGAGACGGATATTGCTAGGAATCGATGGCAGTTGTGGAGTGCCATGTGTGTTGTACGATTCCCTGTTATATCCACTGAATTAAACAACATAGAGAAACGGTATAGTGAGATGCTTGCGAGAGTGGAGTTTGAAAATAGCATGCTTTCGGACTTTGAGCTTTGGCATATGCAGGTAGGCTGTACTCATTAATACTAAGTGTGGGTCTATACTAATATACATTAAGGAAGGGTGCAAGATTCCAATGTAATCTAGCTGGTAGTTGAAATTAGCAATTCACTCACAGAACAGTAGATTAATTGCAGCACAGCTCTAATCTGATTAGCTACTGTTATTTCATATTCAACACGACCATAGTCTATGGTGAAATAGGATCTTAGCCTCTACAAACTTCTCATATTAAATATGATGATTCGTAGCTGTTTTATATGCTATAAGTATAAGATTTCATAGTTATAGTTTGTCAAGTTCCAGCCATAATCTCATTATACATTAAATTGACACCTAGAATTTAATATTAGCACAGTGACATATTTTTGTTGATTTTGTAGGATTTAGCACGAAGAAAGAAGCGTATGGAGAATCCAACTCATGAGGACTTTGATGAAGATGTGGGAACATCTACAGCACAGGTAACAGTATCATTTGGGGGAGTTTTTCAATCGTTGTCTCAGATATTTGTCTCAGATATATTAAATCTATTGGAGATACTCTTGAATGTACCCTTGAGCATGTAAAAATCATACATAAAAAATTAGGGAATACGGTTATACCATAGTATAGATGTACACACATGGGTATTGGCTGTATAAAGCATAATGCTTTGAGCTAGTTTAATACAAATAAAAACTTCGAAGAATGAGGTTTGTGATTAATATATGTATGAGTAAAATGTGATGTTGTGGACACTTTGCAGGATTTTGAAGATGCTGGTGTGGAAGAATTTCAGAACTTTACAGTGACTCCACGCACCACTGAAGCTGACAACACCAACAACAGACGCTCCCTTAAACGCAAGCTTGATCGGAAGCTATTTCTAGTTGTAAAGCAGAAGCTTGGGAAGAACGAAGAGTGGGTGTTCCCTATGGGTGCAAATAAGGATGGTCAGTCATTAAGGGAAACAGCAGTAGCAACTTTATCGAGCACCTGCGGTGAGGATGTAAAAGCTCAAGTAAATGGCAATGCTCCTGTGGGATTTTACAAGTATAAGCTTCCATCGGGCAGTGCTACCACTGATGGGTATTTTGGAGCCAAGATATTCTTTTACCAGGCTCAGTTTCTAGGGGGTGTGCCAAAGAACGGTAATGGTATTGTGGATCACTTGTGGTTGACTCAGGAAGAAATGGCTCAGTTACTTAATAGAAAATATTTTTCAGCTATTAGCAACTTCATTTTTGAATGAGAAATGTGAATACCTAGCTATGACTCATAAAAGTATTATATTGTAGGATGCTTTTTATAGCTAAATACTGCAATTGTATAGATATTATTCATCACAGTAATTTGGTTTTTGCATCAAAATTTCCTAAATGTTCTTAATTTACCAGTACCACAACACTACAATAATATGTGTGATTACATCGAATACATTTTTAACATGAAATGGTGATTCTTGTGCATTTCTTGCCATTCTAAATGGATACTGTGCAAATAGTATAGTCAACATCTCACATAATGTAACGGTACGTCTACACGTCGTATATTTAGCATAGTTTAATTGGTCAATAAAACCTATTGATTTCTACTTATCATGAACTGCTCCTAGGCTGTATAACGTATCACCATCTTTATCGTACAAACTGTAAAATACAAAAAATATGTATCTGTGTAAACTATCTTGCATATATGGTACGTACCAAGGAAATTTCTGATTGGAAACCAGTCTGTATGCTGCACCGATTTTATACCGTTTATTTCTACTGGAATGTGACTATGGGGCACAACTGTAGTTTATGCGGTATAACCGTATGTTTTATTATGTATGGCATACACATGAAGCCTACATCCAATATATCATTATGGGTAGGCTAATTAATGAAATACACCTTTCACTGCATGGTCGTAAACACAACAACAAAAACGGGTACTAAACTTTACCCGTACTAAACTCTACCCGTACTAAACGGGTAGCGATAACACTTAAAATATATAAAAAATCAACTTGATCAATAAACTTAATTGCTACCGGTAAATGTCATGATAATACAAATTCGTTGCAGCTAGTTTTATGGCTTTCCAATCAGGAAAAAATACTTTTTTTCACGGGAGCTCTTTTTCAAGTCTGTGGGAAAAATAGCTCTCGTCAATAATTTTACGGGAGCTAGTTTGAGCCTCACGGAAGCGATTTCGGAGGTTTGATGAGCGAATCTCTCGTCGCTCCTGTGTATTTTTTTTACCCTGTTTCCAATATACTTTATTCTAATCTAAAAGCACATGAACTAGAATTCTTAATCTTCATACACCAATATAGCCTAAGAAAGAACCACTATTGCATTCATACATTGAGCTTGTAACATATACCCCCCCCCCCAATTAACATAATCATACACTGAGCTGGTTATGATAGGCAAACCAACAGTATAAAAATAACAAACAATATAGGTGTTTTTAGTTACTTTGCACGAGTTATGTAACCACTGTGCACATATAGCTCATACCTTCACAAGATATGAATGCTATAATCTCATTAAAACACAACTATGTATATTACATCAAGAGAGGATAATAATTACCAGTAGTACTCACTATAAGTATTATCTTCACTTCATTACATATCATATACGCACACACAGGTCCCATGTATTTAGAAATGTGTGAAATTACAAATCACCTGGGATTACAGCAGCTGCATGATAATTAACTACAGTTCGCTATATTTAAGGTTATTTGGCTTATGATCACAGTAGTCATACAAACCTTGCAGTTAACTTGCACATACTGACATTCCATACTATTAGCATGTTACAATTAATACACTAGCGGATAGAAAATATCAGGAGCGTATAATGGCAAACGTATATTTGTCATTATACGCTCCTGAAAATATGTATGTGCGTCATATGAAATAGAATATTTTCATCTCAGATATTTTTGTCTACATTTACAGACTTTATGTCAATTTGACATTAGCCCCCAAAGACATTGTTATTATATATATATCAAGAATACATAATAGAGAAGAGTATGACACCGTCTTAACAGCGTTTTGCATAGTTTTCAACTTTTAAATATTCTATCAATATGTTCATAAATATATTCAAACTTTACCTTGTTTTCGTCTATGATTCTCCCTTAATCATATGACACCACCAATTTACCCGAAAATCGTATGTTCTTCAAAAAAGTTCTTTGAATACGACACGGTTTCACACAGTTTTCCCAAATGATCACATGTTTTCGGCGCAAGTTTATTATCGGATTAGTGTTCTATTGTCTATGACGGAACGCTGGGGGCTGTTGGGGATATTAGGCATCGAATTGTATTCAGCGTGTAGCGTTTTCAGCGTGCTAGAAATAAATGTGTGCTCACGGCGAGCTAGCAGCCGATTTTAGCTGTGTTGCCATCGTGTTCCTGATAAGGAAGCGAAACAAGTGCTGTTACTGTGCTTACCTAATATCCCCAACAGCCCCCAGCGTCCCGTAGTTACAACCTGGTGCTGCCCGCCGCATTATCAACATGCGCTGAATACATGCGATCGTTTGGCAAAACTGTGTGAAACCGTGTCGTATTCAAAGAACTTTTTTGAAGAACACATACGATTTTCAGGTAAATTGGTGGTGTCATTAAGGGAGAATAATAGACGAAAACAAGGTAAGGTTTGAATATATTTATTCACATATTGATAGAATATTTACAAGTTGAAAACTATGCAAAACGGTGTCATACTCTTCTCTATTATGTACTCTTGATATATATATATATATATGCGAAACATTTGCATACAGTCAAAATCATTAAGTAGCAAATCAAGAGCGAGTACCATTTGTTATAAATTTTTTGGTTTTGGTTTCAAACCTTGGTGCAATGAAGACCATGCTACGATCCATTACAATCAATCTGTGCCATGTTGAAGCCTCGTAACACATTACCATCTCTGGCAGCATAAAAACGCACATGAAGCACATGCGACACTTTCCTGCAAGCACCAAAACCTGGATTTGGGTTATCAGCATTCACACGAATGCACTTCTTTTCATTTAAAACGGATGGGACATTACAATTGCCTATCTTTAAAAAAGCGCCCAAACGTAGTTAGCACTCATACGACGCACTTCTCGAACTGAGGTCGATTGTCGATGACACGCTCGAACCCGAAACGCGTCAGATCGATCGTCTTGTAGCCGCCGTCAAACAACACCTCCATAACAGCTCGCCCCACCGCAGCAGCCTGCTGGATGCCGTGTCCACTGAAGCCGTTTGCGAAGATGAAATTGCCATGCACGGGGTGCGGTCCGATGATCACGTTCTGGTCGAGCGTGTTGTAGTCGTAGTAGCCGGCCCACGCCGACTTCAGCTTGAGCTCCTCAAAGTCCGGGCAGCGGTGCGCGATCTCGGGCCACACGCGATTGTTGAAGAAGTCGTAGTCGACCGTCAACTCACTCGTATCCGGCTCGTCGTCGCTCGCCGGCGACGCTCCCATCAGGTAGTTGCCGGCAAGCCCCTCGCGGCGCAAGTACGAGCCACTCGAGTCGATCAGCACGGGGCAGTCGAGGCCGGGCCCCGTCGGCGCGTGCACCATGTAGACGTAGCGCTTGCGTGGCTCGACGGGAAGGCCGACCTTGAGCACCGAGTGCGTCTTGTGTGCGCCGACTCCGGCCATCTTGGCGACGCTACCGGCGTTGTGGCCGCAAGCGTTGACACAGATGGCGAACTGCAGCGGGTAGACGTTGTCATCATCGGCCTTGATAAGCACGTTCTTGCTCTTCATGTATGGTTCATCGGTCTCCGCAAGCATGGCGCCCTCTATCTTCTCAAACTCGAATCCAACAACTTCACCTGCGGAGTGCATTAAAACATGTGTCAGTGGTCAACTCTATAGTACGGAAACCAGTTGACAAAGTGCATGCACTTTCCATATTTTTTCCCTGAGTGACAGTTATACAATAAAACCACCTGTATGAAGCAATTACCTGCCTATAAAGGTAAATTTTGATGTTTTCCTTGATTGACTCTTATATACTGATTTGACTGTTTATAAATCGTGCACATAATCAAAACTTGGTATAAAATTTCCTTATATAATATACATACAACATTACATAGATCTTGTGATATGTGAGCCCCCACAGTCGCAACTTGACATTTTGAGCACCGCCTCACTGCTCTTGTAAAGTACTTTTGACACCCCCACAAATTTGTATTCAATTCTAATCTCTGTTATGCAGCATCAAATCTTTATTTATTTATACCATATCATGATATGCATTAATATTCATTCATATATCAATAAAATAAAGGGGCTGAGACAGAGATCAAGACAAAAGACCATAACGAGAATGTTAACACACCTTTAATGTACTGCACTCCTAGGGACATGGCTTTCTTTTTGAAGGCGCTCAGTAGGGACCATGGGTCGAACCAGCCTTCATTCTCTACACCATAAGAACCCATCACTACTCCGTCTGTGTGAAGCCATGGCCATTTGCTCTTTAACTGTGACTCTGAAAAAGCATTATATTGCTGTTTTATAAATAATGAGTCCAACAGCTTACTCACAGTAACAGCAAATAATTACTCTGAATTATTATGATTAAAGGGATAGTAGACTCTAGTATTTTACTGCATACAACTTGTACTTACTGTATAACAAATCGTCTATACCCACACGTACTTGTTACCAGATACCTAATTTAAGGCCGCACTATGCGCATCCAAACGCTAATTTCTCCAGTACAATACTAGCAAATACTTCCTGTCATGCATAATCACACTACCTTATGGCAAAATAAACTCTAGTTCCTCCCATTTCAGTGCGCGTTTGCTTAAAACCCACAAGAAAGAGGTGCGAAATGTGGTAATCTGGCGCCAACGCTAAATTGTTTGCCAAACAATTTCGTCAAGAATCGGTTAGGTGACGCCACATGTTTTTATCTTTGCTATACCCGTACCGCTGTACCGCAGCACCGCTCCACGGTTGCTTGGCAGAGCAATGCGAAAGTGTCAACAACATCGAAGAATTTGAACAACATTGGAGGTATTTTCAAATGCCTTTTATAAGACACCGTGCAGTGAAATGGGAGAAACTAGAGTTTATTTTGTCATAAGGTAGTGTGATTATGCATGACATAAAGTATTTGCTAGTCTAGTACTGGAGAAATTAGCGTTTGGATGCGCACAGTGCGGCTTTAATTGTTATAATTAATTACACATCAACGCTACGAAATTTGAACGGCGCCATTGACACCCGCGACTGTGCTGCCACCCTGAAAAAGTTGCGCATTTGCCAATTTATTTTGCACGTTACAGACCAGGAATCGATCGTCAAGAATTCCCATTCGACCAGGACCACCGACGCGTGTATTTTTACCGTACCACGCATGCACTGCAGCCCATACACAAGTTCAAACAGTTAACCTGTACCGAACCCAACAATAACTATACACCGACTCGGCTATCTTATATATACAAGAACCCCAAATACCGTCTATGGTGTGGTGGCGATTTTACGCATTAATTAGTGGTACGGTAAAAAAACACGCCCCTGGACCTCCCTAGTTTCCCCTCCCTCCCCCCTGTTTCAATTTCATCCTGGGGAGAACCCTGAAGCTGCATCTGACTACGTCAGATGAGCTAACAAATCGAACATATTTATACCTAAATACCTAATACATATAGCTACTTATAGTACTACCCTCCTTCTAACACAATATATATGAGTTTTGCTCGATATCTGTTGATATAATCAAATAAATAGCCAGATATCTCTAGTCTAGGTGTTGTACTTCCATTTAGATGGCAACTTCAGGTTCTCGTAGAATGTAGCAGCATAGTTACGTTAGCAAATAGTAGAGATGTTTCAACCGATGCAATGATTGCAGATTCCAAATGAGACAGCGCGCGTCACAGGTTAGATGGCAGATAACTCTGGCTTTAACTCAGTCGAACACATACATATATACATACTGCAGCAGCCTAGGTAACCATGCCTAGGCTCCGCGCCTCGTCTCGATCTCTCTCCGGCTCTCTACATAGTAAATGTGTGTCTGACTAATGTGTCTTTCTGTGCCGTCACTATATCAGTCTCTATGTCTCTTATATCCACGTCCCATATATCTACTGATTCAAAGGCTTATCGGGCACTTCCACAATCCGGTCTATTGTCCAGCTGCTTATTCTAGTGATAACACATTGTCTCTCAACGTGCGCGTGGGGCACATTGGGGGTATGTTATTACAATAATATCGAGGAGATAAACCTAAGGAGCGCTGGTCACCCAAGTTGGGGCATGTATACACAGCCACAGGCACTTGGAACATCTCAATAAACAAAATAATGGTAAATAAACACGAAATGTATTTACTACCAAAGTCTCAATGCAGTTTGTTGCAGTATTAGTCGAATTAATAACTAAACAGAGGGCACTCACGGAGAGTGCATACCTCCGCGAGTATGTAACATGTATGTGCTCGCTGGTGGCGGCTGCTGACTGACTCACCGCTCACTGGTGGCTGCTGCTGACCCGCCACTTGCTGACTCGACGCGCTATCGATCGCGCCGCCCACTCGCTGACTCGGCGCGCTATCGATCGAGCGGTGGCTACACACACACACACACACACGTGCGCGCGCGAGCGATTGAATAATCAACCTCCGTTTGCGCGGAGGTATATAAATATATATATATAGCCTAGGCTATAGCTCTAGTAACTATAGCCCGCGTACAGTGGCCGCAGGCTGCGGCAGTCCTGCGGCAACTGTACGCGGGCTATAGTTACTAATACTAGAGCTATACCTAGGCTATAGCATAGGCCTGCGGCAACTGTACGCAGGCTATAGTTACTATAGAGCTAGTGCAAGCTACATTGCCTAGTATTACAATTCGATACATATACTTGTAGTTATAGTTTCGAACAGCAACAGCTAACATATGGTGATCGATAAAGAATATACCTACCTAATACTGATAGAGATAGTGAGATACGCCCAGCGTGCAGTGTGCAAGACGTACTAGCGCCATAACCTTACAGTACAATTTCATTACAGAGATAAAAATAGACTGGTACTCGCTCCTACCTCGATTACACGATTAATCGATGGAATCCTAAGCCGAGAGGTGGGGGCGAGAGGTGGGACCGGGTACCAGTCTAAGGGGAGAGATATAGTGATCCGCTAGGGGGCGGCTCTGATTGGCTAATTTTGTCTCTTATTTATTTTAGTTTTTATTATTTTTGGCTAATTTTGTTTTATTTTAGAATTAGGGATAGAGAAAGGGTTAGGGGGTTAGGATTAGGATTAACTGATTACTATATCCACAACTTATTTCTATATTCACTATCTCTCCCCTGAGACCTACTAAAAATTGCTCTCTTGTTAGTTGTGGCGGCGGCGCACGCGATTTTTTTTTCTAGGTCAATCCTGAGAACAATATATACATATATATAGTATATAGTCTATATATTGTTCTCAGGGTCAATCAAGAACATAGGGCTCTAGTGAGCGCTGCTATTGGTTGAGCCTGTTGCGTCGTTCAATGACGTCCCAGTGTCGTCATATTCATAGCACATCCAAAATCCATAACTCCAATAATCCTCAATAGCCGAGCGAGTACAGCACGCAATCAGAGCATATAAATCACCTTATATGCTTTATATGATTTATATGCTCTGACGCAATTCAGGGCTGAAAGGTCGGTGGATCGAATCCCATCGGTTTTTTGAATTAATCTGTGACCACTGATTACTTTGACCGTCCCTTGAGAAGAAAAGCAACTGGGGCTGGTATCATTCTATTTCATATAGGTAAAATTAACCCACTGTCTGAACTTTAAAATAATGCCCCTCTCACATCATGCTAACTGTCACGTACCATTCAGCAAGACCACCTTGGCCCCATGTTCCTTCTGTATTGTGTGGTTCTCCTGGAGAGTCTGTACTCCAGCCTCAGAGGCAAGGAATAGATAGCCCTGTAGTACAACAAATTATTGGCATGATGATATCAAGCATGTCCTGGCCTCAGCCACCCATTATGCCAGCTTCATGAATTCAATGCAGTGGGTCATGCTCCAATATTTGATACGTAATATCCACAGGTCAAATACCTGTGGATTAAACTGGATGTCAGGTGGATCACTGTCTAAGACGCTCAGATGTTTACGGATGTTCCGGAGGAAGTCAGCGCTGAACATTGACATCTGAATGTTCTCTGGAGAGGAGAACTGCTGACGAATGCCTCCTACAGACAGCACTGTTGATGCCTGTTGGCAGAATCACACATTTTATTAGCATCATAGAGTCACATACACCCCACATAACAGTTAGCTAGGAGAGTGATGATCGACAGATGCTAATACCCATTGTTAAGGACTAAAAAAGCATGTATTCAACTATTCACTGTCAATATCACTCTCAATTGAACTGCTAGTGTACATATGCATGTTTCAAACTTGGAATATTTGTCAGGTAGAGCTGAGGCCAGAGGGCCTGGAACTAAGGAAATTTTTATTACCCCACCACACACACATATGCACGCACCTACACTCACATGCACACACTTCAGGCCCAACCTTCCAGCCCCACACTCAGTGGACTCCTACCTTCCAGAATTCTTAGGGGGCGTTGTCAGAAACATCGTCAAGTTAATGCTAATGTTAATGCTAAGATAACTCTTACGACTAATGTTAATGTTACGAGAGGAGCGTTGACAGAAACACATTGCAACTATTAAAAAACTTACGATAACAGGAACTTCATCACAAGGCTGCTGGTTGGATGAGAATCGATCACAAAATTCAAATTCATACACATTTATTGTACATCACAGTAATATATGCATATTATCAAGAGCTAATAAACACCTAGAGTGTACAACGGAAAAACGGAAAAAATAGTGCTATTTCACGGCAATATTATTCTACTTTGCCTGCTAGTCAAGAATAATTTCATGGTATTGCATTAAGCAGAATTCTTTGCTCTCTAAAACAAGACCAACCGCTTGTCAATACGATACTCCTAGGCGAAGATATTGGCTTGTAAACTTCCCCTCCCACAGGCCTCACATCCACAATATTCACTATCCTTCTCGCCTTCTGCGGGGTAGGAAAGTCGCTTCGTGAGAGTTCGGTTTTTTTCGCGATAACTTTATGAATGAACGGCGTTTCGGTCATCATCGGTGACTTTCGGGGGCATCGCCTATGCCCTTATCTCCCATTATCTTTCCTAGCACAGCTAATATGCCCATCATGATGGAGCCTGCAATGTTTTCTAAATTAAGTCTCTACAACGCAGCTCAGTTACTATATGGAGTAGTAAGAGTACCAAATTTGGGCATGTGGCATCAATTATCAGCGCTCCAAGCGGCGACGGAAAACGATAGCCAGGCCCGCAAAAGGCGAGAAGGATAGTGAATATTGTGGAGGCAGCGTGAGGCCTATGGGAAGCATGATTACGCTCCAATATCTCGGCCTAGGAGTATCGTAGAGACAAGCGGTTGGTCTTATTTTAGAGAGCAAAGAATGCTGCTTAAGGCAACACCATGAACTTAGTCTAGAACCGCATACAAAGTAGAATAATATTGCCGTGAAATAGCACTATTTTCCCGTTGTACACTCTAGGTATTTATTAGCTCTTGATATTATGATGGCTAACCACATATAAATAATATTAGATGAAAAACGACGCGGTCATGAATTTATTCTGCACAACATTACTAGACAAATTCTCACACTGTAGTTAACATGAGACACGAGAGTTAAACAACATTAAAACAAGAGAACAAATGACATACGCCATTTGTAAATGTTTTGTTTTGTTTTATGATCTGTAGTATAGATAATGAATGTTTTTGACGTGTTTCTCAAGAAAAACACATTTTATTCATGTTAATTGTAATTCGTAGTGTAAATGTGTTATTTTCATCTTAATATTAAAGTTACGAGAGAGTCTGGGCTCTCGTAATATATTTTCGGAGGATTTTTTTCGGAGGATTTTTTCGGAGGATATTTTCGGAGGATTTTTCGTTCTCGTAAAATTACGATGTTTCTGTCAACGGTTTACGAGTGGAAGTTAATGTTAAGACTAATGTTAAGACTAATTTTGTTTCTGACAACAGGCCCCTGGATCCACCCATGCTCGCTCCACTTACCTGAGTATATTTTGGGTCCTGTTCTACAACAGTGCAAGTGAAGCCTTTAGGATTTCTTTGCTTCAGCCAGTATGCAATTGCACTGCCCATGATGCCACCACCAATAATGACAATATCGGTTTCATATGGGACCTTAATGTCAGCGACTGACTGACCTTGAAAGACGCCAAAAAACAACACTTTGTAATGGTCCATGCATTGTACTTTCCACATGTATATTTGCACAGCCAGAGGCTATAAACTCAAACTGAGATCATTTGGAAGAGGGAACACAAAGATTTCCAGAAAAATCATACGTAACATGAGTAACAAATTCACTTTATTACTTTATAACAACAGAAATTTTGCTTCATCAGCAATTACACTACATCATTAATCCTACACAAATTTTGACAGAAAGTACTACAGAAAGTTTACATTATCGGAAACTGTATCAACTTTGCAAAAAAAAAATATATACGTACGCCATTTAAGGGGGATGCTCCATTAGGAGCGTTCCCAACTTTAACGTCATTAATGTCGTGATATAAAAGAGATATAAAGGGGGGGTGGATCGATATCAATTAGATAGCAAGGGGGGTTAGATATGAAATAGATATCAAAGGAGGGTGGGTGGATTGATATCAATTAGATATCAAAGAGGGGTTAGATATGAAATAGATATCAAGGCAGGGGTTATATAGGGTATATAGAGGGAGCAAGCAACATTGAGACTGGGGTATGTTCGCTTCGTTTCGCTGGACTTCGCTGGACTTCGTTGCTCGACCAAGCAACATTGAGACTGGGGTATGTTCGCTTCGTTTCGCTGGACTTCGCTCGGCTTCATTGCTCGAGCAAGCGAAATACAGAGCGGGGCCATGTTCGCTTCATTTCGCTGGACTTCGCTGGACTTCGTTGCTCGAGCAAGCAAAATACAGAGCGCGACCATGTTCGCTTCGTTTCGCTGGACCTCGTTGGAATTCGTTGCTCGAGTAAGCAACATTGAGACTGGGGTATGTTCGCTTCGTTTCGCTGGACTTCACTGGACTTCATTGCTCGAGCAAGCGAAATACAGAGCGGGGCCATGTTCGCTTTGTTTCGCTAGACTTCATTGCTCGAGCAAGCGAAATACAGAGCAGGGCCATGTTCGCTTCATTTCGCTGGACTTCGTTGCTCGAGCAAGCGAAATACAAAGCGCGACCATGTTCGCTTCGTTTCGCTGGACTTCGCTGGACTTCGTTGCTCGAGCAAGCGAAATACAGAGCGGGGCCATGTTCGCTTCGTTTCGCTGGACTTCGCTGGACTTCGTTGCTCGAGCAAGCAAAATACAGAGCGGGGCCATGTTCGCTTCGTTTCGCTGGACTTCGCTGCACTTCGTTGCTCGAGCAAGCGAAATACAGAGCGGGGCCATGTTCGCTTCGTTTCGCTGGACTTCGCTGCACTTCGTTGCTCGAGCAAGCGAAATACAGAGCGGGGCCATGTTCGCTTCGTTTCGCTGGACTTCGCTGGACTTCGTTGCTCGAGCAAGCGAAATACAGAGCGGGGCCATGTTCGCTTCGTTTCGCTGGACTTCGTTGCGCGAGCAGGCAAAATAGAGAGCGGTGCATCTTCCCTTCGTTTCAATCGCCTTCGCTGCTCGAGCAAGCGAAATACACAGCGGGGCCATTTTCGCTCCGTTTCGCTGGACTTCGCTGGTCGAGCCAGCAAATTAGAGACGAGGGGTATGTTCGCTTCCTTGCGAAGAAGAGAGAAGAAGAGAAGAGAGAGATGGAGGGAAAGAGGTCGAGTGAGAGAAAATGAGAGAGAGAGATAGAGAGATAGAGATAGAGATCGTTTCAGAAAGAGATAGAGAGGTAGAGTGAGAAAGGGGAAGAAGAACAGAGATGGGAAGAGAGCAAGCGAACATGACCCCGCTCTGTATTTCGCTTGCTCGAGCAGCAAAGCCGAGCGAAGTCCAGCGAAACGAAGCGAACATGGCCCCGCTGTGTATTTCGCTTGCTCGCGCAACAAAGTCCAGCGAAACGAAGCAAACATACCCCAGTCTCAATGTTGCTTGCTCCCTCTATATACCCTATATATAACCCCCCTTGATATCTATTTCATATCTAACCCCCCCTTGATATCTAATTGATATCGATGCAGTCCCCATGATATCTATTTCATATCTAACCCCCCCTTGATATCTAATTGATATCAATCCACCCCCCCTTTATATCTCTTTTATATCACGATATTATAAAGTTGGGAACGCTCCATTTAAACAATGTGCAGCAAACTCCACAATTTACATCAACCACACTGCTTCTGCTGTGCATTACTCTTTGTATACCTGGAAGTTTTGTGACATCATCTCTTAGAATCTTCCACACACGCTTGATGGAGTTTCCCTCAGTTACTCGGATTACCTTGTCTGGATCGAAATTGCCTGACTTGTGAGAACCTGTCGAACTGGTGCATAACAGACGCCTTGCACAAACCCGCAACATTCTTGATCTGCCTGCTGTATCAAAATAAAAAATTCCCATTATCATTTATTGCTATAAACAACTGTATGAACAATCGCTTTTCTTTACAATATTTATTTGAAAGGGAGACGCTAGGCACAGAATATATCATCATGTACGTTCCATTCCAAACCCCTCTGCGACAGGCAGTGTTGTTTAGCTCAACTACTACTTTTACTGCTCCCATTCACTTATAATTTGAATTTGAGTATTTCAAATGAATACTTATAAAAACACTTCAGAAGGAATGCACAGCTCTTGCAATGCATTAACCAGTAATGTATACATGTATATGCTTTGCAATAGTGGCGACATCTATAAACTACAATAAAAGTGTCAATGACACTGTAGCTCACCACAAAAAATGACACAAATGAGTGAGTGAGAAGAAGTCAGTTTTAATTGAGCAACCATCGACGTACATTATAGAAACAAAAAGTATATATATGGGAGAACTCCCATTATATACTCTTGATAATTATGTGTAATTTTTTATGTGAAAATAATAAATAATATTATAAATTATAAATAATTTATAAACCAAAATGAATCACAATTTGTGACGGTAGATGGCGCTATACCCGCTTTGATGTTTCTTAGCATAAATCATTATATCATAATAATAATAAATAATAAATAGTAAAGTATAAATCATAATATGTTCATAGCAGGAATTTTGCATTAAAGATATTGTCAATGAAATCTTGTAAAACGAACCAGACGAGTGTGACACCCACAGACTGTTTGTGTCTATATAATATGCTATATAATTGCCAAAACCTACCTAATTTGCATAATTTTTTTTTAAATATCAAAATCCCTAGCCCTTATTCATTCACATACAAACAAGTGCCGCATAGCGACAGCGCTCATCTAACGTCTACTGCGGTGACTCTGTGGTGAGTGGTGGGATTCTAGTAACCAAGGCCATGTTGATTGCATTCACATACTACAGCGAGAAATATGTGGAATGCATAGAGATGGTATCAGGAAACCTTCTCAAAGAATGTTCGTTGGGATCGTTATGAAAGTTGCCACGAGATGGCGCGTACGTTTAAGTGTCTTCAGATTAAAGATGGAAGCTCCCATCATTCGTAGTAGCAACAACTATTTGCAAGACAGAATAGGTAAGCACTCATCCATTTACCTACGCAAGCCTACAGGCTGCAAATAGAGAGCTGCCACCTGCAACCAATTAACGCAGGCAAAAACTGCCCCAACACATGCACTCATTGCACTGGCAGCAGCCACTGGCAGTGGCATACGTTACATGTAACATACTGACACTACAGAATGCCATATAAATTATACGATTTAAGGAGCATAAACCTTCTTTAAACAAATTTAGCTTTTGAAATTTCACTGTGACCTTGTAGCCTCATACATCCAGGCATGTATAGATTCTACTAGCAAACCCCGGCAGTCAAATTCTTTCTAACAGACAGTCAACAAATCCATGTTTAACCCTCCTCTTGAGGGTCAAAAGGTTATCAGACACTTACTCTTTCGCACGTCAGTGGAAAGCAGATTTCATGGTCCTTTCAATAAAGCCATAAAAATGATAGGTCACCGCTGAAACAAAAAAGTTTTCCAATCGCTCCGTCAGACCCATGTCCTCAGAAAATGTCTAAAATCTGCCCTGTGCTCCATTGCCCTTTGACCTGTGACCTCCAATTTCGGCACAGTGATGGCTTTTCCTACCATGATGCTATACACCGACTATCACGAGCCTAGGTCGAGCCATTTAGATTTGTGCCGCCAATTCTGCATTTCCTCAAACCTTAAGTTAAGGAGTGAATGTTCCCCTTCTTTTACACTCTTGACCTTTGACCTTTGACCCCCAGCTTCGACATCTCCAACTCGTTTTCGGATTACCCCGCCCCCACCCACCCACCCCACACATCCCGAATATCGTGACCGTACGTCGAGCGGTTAAGATTTGTGCCCAACTGTTGACGGACGGACGACGGACGGACGCGACACCGCACGCACGCACGGACGATAATGCGATTCTACAAGCTCAGGGTTCTCCCTACGTTGCGCAAACAGGGCGCCCGCGCCCCGTTTGGGAAAACTCCCCCTGTTTTCAATCGTTGCGCCCCGTTTGAATTACCTCCGCCCCGATTAAATTCCACCACAATAAAAGTTTGACAGAGAAGGAATCGATCGTCAGAATTCCATTCGACAGGACCACCGACGAGCGTGTAATTTTTACGGTACCACGCATGCACTGCAGCCCATACACAAGTTCAAACAGTTAACCTGTACCCGAACCCAAACAATAACTATACAACCGCGACTCGGCTATCTTATATATACAAGAACCCCAAATACCCTCTATGGTGTGGTGGCGATTTTACGCATTAATTAGTGGTAGCGGTAAAAAAACACGCCCCCTGGACCTCCCTAGTTTCCCTCCCTCCCCCCCTGTTTCAATTTCATCCTGGGGAGAACCCGTGAAGCTGCATCTGACTACGTCAGATGAGCTAACAAATCGAACATATTTATACCTAATACATATAGCTACTTATAGTACTACCCTCCTTCTAACACAATATATATGAGTTTTGCTCGATATCTGTTTGAAATAATCAAATAAATAGCCAGATATCTCTAGTCTAGGTGTTGTACTTCCATTTAGAATGGCAACTTCAGGTCTCGTAGAATGTAGCAGCATAGTTACGTTAGCAAATAGTAGAGATGTTCAAACCGATGCAATGATTGCAGATTCCAAATGAGACCAGCGCGCGTCACAGGTTAGATGGCAGATAACTCTGGCTTTAACGTCAGTCGAACACATACATATATATACATACTGCAGCAGCCTAGGTAACCATGCCTAGGCTCCGGCCTCGTCTCGATCTCTCTCCGGCTCTCTACATAGTAAATGTGTGTCTGACTAATGTGTCTTTCTGTGGGCCGTCACTATATCAGTCTCTATGTCTCTTATATCCACGTCCCATATATTAACTGATTCAAAGGCTTATCGGGCACTTCCACAATCCGGTCTATTGTCCAGCCTGCTTATTCTAGTGATAACACATTGTCTCTCAACGTGCGCGGTGGGGCACATTGGGGTATGTTATTACAATAATATCGAGGAGATAATACCTAAGGAGCGCTGGTCACCCAAGTTGGGGGCATGTATACACAGCCACAGGCACTTATGGAACATCTCAATAAACAAAATAATGGTAAATTAAACACGAAATGTATTTACTACCGAAAGTCGTCCAATGCAGTTTGTTGGCAGTATTAGTCGAATTAATAACTAAACAGAGGGCACTCACGGAGAGTGCATACCTCCGCGAGTATGTAACATGTATGTGCTCGCTGGGCGGCATGCTGACTGACTCACCGCTCACTGGTGGCTGCTGCTGACCCGCCCCTTGCTGACTCGACGCGCTATCGATCGCGCCGCCCACGATCGCTGACTCGGCGCGCTATCGATCGAGCGGTGGCTACACACACCACACAAACACACGTGCGCGCGCGAGCGATTGAATAATCAACCTCCGTTTGCGCGGAGGTATATAAATGATATATATAGCCTAGGCTATAGCTCTAGTAACTATAGCCCGCGTACAGTTGCCGCAGGCTGCGGCAGTCCTGCGGCAACTGTACGCGGGCTATAGAGTACCGGAAGTGTGACGTCACGTTGGCAAGACAACGCACGGCTGGTTCTACACAAGCCACTGGCTCCATAAGGGTTTACTGCGTGAAAATGTTGTGCGTACGTAAAACACGAGTGGTGCGCTGCAGACAGCGGTAAAGCATCGGTAGCAAGTCGATCTTACAAATATTAATGAATTTTAAAAAAATTTAATTTTTTAAAAAAAATTTTTGTTGTTGTTAATTATTTTTATTTTTTTTGTTGATTTTCACTTCCATCTTTTGAAATCTATAAAAACTGCAATAATTGACTTCTCAGAATGATGGTTAAAGATCGGGTACAAAACACGACACGTTGTTAATGTTACCAGAGCATATGATTGTGTAGAACGCAGCAGGCTCGTTGTCATGCCACCGTGACGTCCATCACTTCGTACTCTATAGTTACTAATACTAGAGCTATACCTAGGCTATAGCATAAGCCTTATCGCCAATCGTTAAATATCACCAGATGGGCCCCGCGCCGGCAAAGCATGATGGGGATGGAAAAGGGGGCAACGATCGGCGCTCATAGATAATATACGCACGGCTATGGTGATAGGAAAGGATACTAACTATTATATCTCGCAAAACGAATTGAGTTACATGTCTAGAAACTAGAGGAATATAGACACATGTCTTAGCTATAATCTCTGTAAATTTCAGTTTGTTGAAGGCACGACTAGTCTAATTAATATACTAAATAAATGCGAACGGATCGCGCAGTAGGCGCGCCTATTGCGTGCAGCCGGCTATACGCACGGCTATGGGTGATAGGAAAGGATACTAACTATGTATATCTTCAAAACGGAGTTGAGTTACATTTCTGGAAATCATAAGGAATATAGACAAATGTCTTAGCTATAATGTCGTGAATTTTCCAGTTGTTGAAGGCACGATTAGTCTAATTAATATACCGAAATATATGCGAACGGTATCGCGCATAGGCGCCTATTGCGTGCACCGGCTATTTACGCACGGCTTGGGTGATAGAAAAGGATACTAACTATTATATCTTCCAAGGAGTTGAGTTACATTTGCTGGAAATCATAAGGAATAAGACAAATGTCTAGGCTATAATGTCTGTTAATTTCAGTTTGTTGAAGCACGATTAGTCTAATTAATTACGCAAATATATGCGAACGTATCGCGCGATAGGCGCCTATTGCGTGCACGGGCTATACGCACGGCTTGGGTGATAGAAAAGGATACTAACCTATTTATATCTTCCAAAGGAGTTGAGTTACATGTCTAAAATGTCAGGAATATAGACACATGTCTTATGCTATAATCTCTGTAAATTTTCAGTTTGTTGAAGCACGATTAGTCTAATTAATTACCAAAATATGCGAACGGTATCGCGCATGCATACTGACGCCTATTGCGTGGCAGCCGGCTGCTAACCGCTCGTGGCGGCGGCGGCGCTAGTAATGCCCCTTTCCTATCCCATGACGGCATTGCTGTTCGATTGGCGATAAGGCTTATTGCCTGCGGCAACTGTACGCAGGCTATAGTTACTATAGAGCTAGTGGCAAGCTACATTGCCTAGTATTACAATTCGATACATATACTTGTAGTTATAGTTTCGAACAGCAACAGCTAACATATGGTGATCGATAAAAGAATATACCTACCTAATACTGATAGAGAATAGTGAGATACGCCCAGCGTGCAGTGTGCAAGACGTACTAGCGCCATAACCTTACAGTACAATTTCATTACAGAGATAAAAATAGACTGGTACTCGCTCCTACCTCGATTACACCGATTAATCGATGGAATCCTAAGCCGAGAGGTGGGACCGGGTACCAGTCTAAGGGGAGAGATATAGTGATCGCTAGGGGCGGCTCTGATTGGCTAATTTGTCTCTTATTTATTTTAGTTTTTATTATTTTTGGCTAATTTTGTTTTATTTAGAATTAGGGATAGAGTTAGGGTTAGGGGGTTAGGATTAGGGTTAACTGATTACTATATCCACAACTTATTTCTATATTCACTATCTCTCCGCGAGACCTACTAAAATTGCTCTCTGTTAGTTGTGGCGGCGGCGCACGGCGATTTTTTTTCAGGGTTCAATCCTGAGAACAATATAATACATATATATATAGTCTATATATTGTTCTAGCGGTCAATCAAGAACATAGGGCTCTAGTGAGCGCTGCTATTGGTTGAGGCCTGTTGCGTCGTTCAATGACGTCCCAAGTGTCGTCATATTCATAGGCACATCCAAAATCCATAACTCCAATAATCCTCAATACGCCGAGCGAGTACAGCACGCAATCAGAGCATATAAATCACCTTATATGCTTTATATGATTTATATGCTCTGACGCGCAATTCAGGGCTGAAAGGTCGGTGGATCGAATCCCATCGGTTTTTTGAATTATTTTCCTGTTTTCTGTATTTTCTATCTTTATCCATTTAACAATTTTTTCTGAATTGACGGCAAATATTTTACATGATTTATTTACAACAATTTAATAACAACAATTAATTTTTACAACAATTAAAAAAATTTTATATATTTTTTTAAATAGGGTTAGGGTTCAGGCCCGTAGCCAGGGGGGGTTCGGGGGTTCGAACGAACCCCCCCCCCCCCAGGCCCCCCCAAACAAAACAAAATGTTTTTTGAAAATTTGCAAGAATTTCACCTCAGGTCGCTCCATTTTAGTGTAATAATTGCAAAATCCCCATCGTGCGGAAGGGTGAACAGTGAACACCCCCCTCCCATACCCTAGCTCCCCCCGCTCGGTCGCTTGGCTCCCTCGCCTGGTCGCTTCGCGCCCGAGCAGGGGCGTGTACAGGGGGGGTCCAGGGAGTCCGGACCCCCCCTTGCTCGCGCAGAAAACGCATCTGAGGGGGTGTAATTTTAAAAAATTTCTGGGGGACAATGCTTACGGTAGTTATGCCGCCTAGCGTCAAAAATATGAAACAAACGAATGTAATCATTACAGACTAGTCATGCTTCGTCTATGACAGTGCTTTCAAACTGGTGAATGAAATTTTGTGATAAAGACTCGAGGGTGAGCGACACTGAAAAAGTGAAGCACAGGTCTATGATACCATAACCCTACGTATTAATTACGTATCATATGTACGTGTGCATGTACACTGTACCTTGTTTTGCACGTTGGCTAACGCTCCATTATGAGTGTTCCCAACTTTGATATCATTAATGATTAATGATTAATGATTAATGATTAATGATTAATGATTGATAATCCTAACCCTAAATGACATTAAACCACAAACTAATAATATATGACATTAAAGTTGGGAACACTCCTAGTGGAGTATCACCCCAGAACGGTGCCTTACTGCAGATTTACAAAAACCGATTACACGTATTCATAAGCCTCGTCTACACGACGAACCTTAACTCGAGTTAGCGATTATTACCGATTTATTATGCGTGCGTGCGTACGTACACGTGCGTGCATGTGCACGTACACGTGCATGCGTACGTGCGTGCATGAGTGTGTGCAAGTACGCGTGCGTGCGTGGTGCGTACGTACATCTTACTAGTGCTGCCGCCTATCGTGGAGGTTAAGCTAACTCGAGTTAAGCGTATAAACGGGCTCGTTAGCTCAACTCGATCGACTATAGATCATCGATCACTGTAACGTTCCAAGCTAACGTAAATTATCACAGGAACTTGGAGCGTTTCAATAAAATATAATGCTAAATAAATACGAAATCTATTTACTACGAGTCTTCTCTAATCTCCTTCACCTAGTATTATTGCCGACAATCCGTGCTGCAAATGCTCCAACGGCAGCAAACACACGCTGCTACGCGGCTGCACACTTACATATATCTATATGGAAATATTGAAACGCTCAAAGTGCCTGTGTAAATTATGAATTATTATAAGATTTTATAACTACATTTTCCTGGTGTAGAGTAACAAAGGCAGGAGAGATGACAACCAAATAAAATTATACGATACAATAAAAATTTATTGCTGTGAATAAACAAAGATTTCATATAGCCAACACGGTGTACGAAGATCGATAAAAAAACGCAGAGTTCAAAAATACGTTTAGTGTTGCGAAAACTAAGGGAAAATCCGATTTTACAATAAATGATTGATCGTTAAAAGTAATGATGCTACACCAACTATATTTACAATAATATTTACATTACAAAACTCTTCTCGATACAGATCACTAGCTAGAAGATTACTTCGCTGCCTTCTTGGGAGATTTCTTTGCTGGTTTCGCCTTCTTTGGTGTCTTCTTAGTGGCTGCTTTCTTTACCGTCTTTGGCTTAGCAGCTTTCTTTGCAGGAGATTTCTTTGTTGATTTTGCTGCCTTTTTTGCAATAGCCTGAATAGGTTTCTTGGCCGTCTTCGGTTTTTTTGCTGCTGCTGTTTTAGCTTTAGGCTTCTCCGTAGTTTTCTTTGATATAACTGCAGGCTTCCTCGGCTTTGCTGCTGCTTTCTTCGCTGCAGGTTTCGCTTTAGTCTTCGGCGTCTTCTCAGCGGTCTGCTCTCCAAGACGGAAACTTCCAGAAGCCCCTGTGCCCTTGACTTGCTTCAGTTGACCACTAGTTACTCCTCGCTTCAAGCACATCTTCAGGTGAGCATTGATGATCTTGTCATCGTTTCCAACCTTGTAATGCGCCTTGATGTACTTCATAATCGCCTGGCGAGAGGAGCCTCCTCTTTCCTTCAGACTAGTGATGGCTGATTGCACCATCTCGGAATACTTCGGGTGACTTGCCGGTGCCTTCGCCTTCTTTGTTTTAGCCACAGCCTTCTTCTTTGGCGATTGTGCAACTGCTGCCGCTGTTTCTCCTGTGTCTGCCATCTTCACTGTATTGTATAACAAACCGAACTACAGCAACTACACCTTGCTAACCGAATTGTACTTATGCCGCTCGTTCGCCGCTGTCGCGGTTATATAGTAAAAGCGCGGATGTGAGCGAAAACACCCAACACGCTCGGCGCGGAACGACGCGTTTTGGTCTCACTGACACGCTAATTGTGTTTGTTACATTGTAAAAACCCATACTTGTGTCACATCTTATGATTAAAAACTGGTAACATTTAGTTTTATAAAAAGATAAGTTCATAAACTATCATCTCACTACAATTGTGTTTAGTTTAGTGTCGATTCTGGCTAGTTATTCATATAAGTAACCTATGTGTGTGTATGAATTTGTGTAGAGTTACCGGAATTATTACATTTATTAATAATTTTGTGCAACGTTTGTTGTTTCTGGTTGCAGGGTATGAAAGGTTAATATCTTAGCTATGCGTATATAAAATTCTCCATTTGTAGGTGGTATCGGTAAGTAGCAAAGTGCCCATGTTCGTGACTTGGAGAAAACAGTTGTGACCACGGAAATCAAGACTCGCCATTTTAGGATTTTCAATAGGCCCAAATTCGTTCACTGATTTGTAAGGTTTCTAGCCAAGTATATTATTTAGGATTTGGCTTACGTATGAATGTACACATATTTAAGAGTTATGTGGTTTGTGGTTGTAGGATGTCGTTTTAATCATATACAATATGTGAAACAAACGCTGAATGTACTCGTGCCGCATATAGTGTTTACAACGTCGCCGAGTTCACCATACGAACATGTATGTTCGATATGTTTTATTTTCTCTCAGTTTCCGTTATAATTTGCAAATGTATGCTCAATTATGTTAACTTTTAAGCCAAATATATGGGGTACTAACATTATTACGCCATAGTCTCTTTGTATTTCACGGTTTTAGAGGGTGAATAGTCCATGTATTTTGTTGTCGTATAGGCTGGGTCGTCGCCATGATGGTTTTTCTCTTGCAAGAATGCCTAGTGCAATCCTTTCGTGAAGTATATAAACAAAGTTGCCGGTGTCTAAAATATAGTTACATTGTTTACAAGCATATCGTTTGTATGAAATGCGTAACGTGGTTGGCTTTTTATAATGTAGCATTGTTCTGCAGATGTGAATAGGGTTCAAATAACCTAGCTATTACATGTAGGCCCCTATATATTTGTACGTAAATAACAAGAGCATATAAACGCCCCTCTAACTCGGTTTACGTAGTGTTTGATAGTGTGTACGTATTACCATCTACACGTATATATATATATATATACGTATATACATATTATAAATTGTAATTCATTGTAATTCATTGTTGTCATTGTAAACATAGTTATGCACCTGAAGATTCTATAAAGATGAATTAAAGCGCTTGTGTAAAACTAAATGTCGGATAACTGTTTATAAAAATACATGTACATATATACATACTGTAATCATACATGTATAACGTTGCTGCTGCAATGCACTTATGAAACTTTTGACTAAAATTTCATTATACAGTACACATATGATCTATTACATGTTTTGTAGTGCCGCAACTTAGGTAATTTACGCACGAAGGGTCGTTGTCGTAACAGGTACTACAGATATGTACCCGAGGTAGTTTTAGGTTGTTTAATATTATGTTTATATTTTTATATGAGGTATGTTTAGGGTTAGGGATAGTGTTAGGTTTAGGGTACACTTCTGTAGTACAAGTCTGGTACACTTCTGTAGTACAAGTCTGGTACACTTTGTGTATACATATATGTACCTCGGGTACATATCTGTAGTACCTGTTACGACAACGACCCCTTGAGCGTAATTTACTGTACGTAGCACATTAGACGTACACACTTGTCTTTCCTTTAAACTTTGTCTTGTCTTTACTGTCATTTAAATTCTCATCTCTTAGTCAAATGCAAAGATCGTAGAGTGGCCTACGGCACTCTAGAATCTTTGGTCAAATGTTACTGGTAGTGTAATTATGTTCATTACATGTGTTAATTACAATTATGTAGCTTACACCTCTGAAGGTCCAAAGCATGTGTACCAACAAAAAGATCAGAGTAAAATTGTACAAGACGAGATTTATTCTTGCAGATATAATCACCACACAAAATTACACGACTTTGAGATTAACAAATCAGAATATTTAAGCACAATTCAGATTTTAATGAGCTATTGAAAATACATAATACAATGGAGACCGATTTCAATGGATATGTACATTTATTTACACAACGATTTATATTCATTATCGACAGACTATTTCCTTGCAACCTTGGGAGATTTCTTTGTGGTCGACTTTGAAGTCTTCTTAGCTGCTGGTTTCTTCACAGGCTTTGGCTTAGTGGCCTTCTTCGCTGGAGATTTTGTTGCCTTCTTAACAGCTGGTTTCTTCACTGCCTTTGGTTTTTTCGCCGCAGTAGTTTTGGACCCAAGCTTTCCAGTACTCTTCGATTTAACCGCAGGCTGCTTTGCCTTTGCACTACCTGCCTTCTTTGCTGCTGGCTTTTTAGCGGTGGGTCTTTTCGCCGTCGGCTTCTTTTCGACTTTTTTCTCGCCGAGGCGGAAGCTTCCAGATGCTCCGGTTCCCTTGATCTGCTTCAGTTGACCACTAGTCACTCCTCGCTTCAAGCACATCTTCAGGTGAGCATTGATCATCTTGTCGTCGCCTCCAACCTTATAATGCGCCTTGATGTACTTCATAATCGCCTGGCGAGAGGAGCCTCCTCTTTCCTTCAGGGTAGTGATGGCTGATTGCACCATCTCGGAATATTTCGGGTGGCTTGCCGGTGCCTTCGCCTTCCTTGGTTTAACAGCAGCTTTCTTTGGAGAGGATACCATGTCTGCCATTGCATATATAGAAACGTACACACCGCTCTCAAAACTGGAACTGCCTTGTCGCTAAACTAGGCGAGGCTATAAAGGGCAAGCGCGGATGTGAGTGAAAACACCTACATGCTCGCCGCGGAATGGCGGATTTCGGTGCCGCCGAGATGCTGATTGTGTTTGTTACCTCGTAAAAAATATATTGTTATGGTATTTCTCTTAGTCACAAACTGATGTGATTACATTTTTAATAGAGGTAAGTCCATATGCTATCATAGTAATCTAGTTTTGCTCAGAGTTCTATAAATATCGACAAGTTATTGCTGTAGGTTGACCAAGTGGGCGTATAAATACGTGTTAAGTTGCGAATAATATTTCATTTATCATTAATTTCGTACTATATATTATTTTCATCGTTGCAGATTATGAAAGTTCAATATCTTAGCTACACTTTCCTGTAATTTCTCATTTGTAGCTGCTACCATTAATTAGCAATGTACATATATACTTGGCTCAGGGAAAACATTACGTCCCCGGAAATCAGGAATCGCCATTTTAGAACTTTCAGTGAATAACAATTAATTCTGTCATTGATTTTGATCGATAAGCAATAAAAGGTTTAAAGATCTCATGTAGAATATGTTTTATATACGCCCACTGAACGATGCGGTATAGCTTTGGTTATATAAGATGTATTACATTGTGGATATTACATAAGATGTTACATTGTGTTGTGGAACAAGCGCCGAATACCATCGAACTATATATATACCCACGTATATAGGAATATCTATGCTAGATTTTGCATTTTATTTTTTGAACATTTCCGTTATAGACCACGGAATTGGTGTGAATTTACAATAGACGGCGCCTCAGTGATTTTATATACAGGGTCAGGGGCGGATTCAGACCGTATTTGCCGTATTGGGAAATACGGTCTAGATTTCAAAGTGCCCTTCGAAATTTACAGAAAATACAAATAATACAGAAAACAATTTGATGGAATTTGGCTATATTCTTTATTTGTTTTTTTCCTTCTGATTCATTGACAGGACTTGAAGGAAATCAAAATTTTACATGGTAACAAAACTAGCTTTGATATCTGAAAAAGAAGGGAAGTGCTTGAATAATACTGCATTAAATACTGGTATGCAAAGCACAGGAAAAATGAAGCAGAAATAAAATTCCAGTTTTAGTTTTTAGCTAGTGTTGCTGCTTGACTTAATGGTGCTCATTTTTGTGCCCAGGGACCCTAGAAATTTTGAAAATTTCCTGGGGGAGGGCCCCCAGACCCCCCGCCATGTGCTTCGCGCCTGACGGCGCTCACTGTGGAGTGGTGTGCCCTTTTTGGGGAATGTGCCCTTAAAATCAGGAAAAATACTGTCTATCCTCAGCCCTGGATCTGCTCCTGAGGGTAGCCGAGCAGGTTGGCCAATGCAGTAGGGCTGAAGGGGTCGTTGTCGTATCAGGTACTACAGATGTATGTACTCGAGGTACGTATATTATCAGGTTATGTATACACAAGTGTATCAGACCTGTATCTTCTCAGCATATAATTTTTATGTACCCTGTGTTTACATAAACGTACCTGCCCCTGAGATGGAGATCGAATGAAGACGGTCATGGAGGAGGAGGAGGGGCAGGAGGAGGAGGAGGAGGAGGACGAGGAGGGAAGAAGGCGATGGAGTAGGGGGAGGAGGAGGGGAGGAGGTGATGCAGTAGGAGGAGGAGGAGGAGGAGGACGAGGAGGGAAGAAGGCGATGGAGTAGGGGGAGGAGGAGGGGAGGAGGTGATGCAGTAGGAGGAGGAGGAGGAGGAGGACGAGGAGGGAAGAAGGCGATGGAGTAGGGGGAGGAGGA